TTTTAGTACTACTTTAATGAAGGTGAGGAGGGAGTTCCGTGATGTTCCAGGTTCCAGGGTGGTAGGGAATTTGTGGGGAGGAGGCACAGTTTAGGTAAGGAGCCAGATATATTTACTTTTAAAATAGTTATACAGTGTATGAAATTATTCATTTAGTCATAATTCATTTATGCTACCACTGATGGACATTTGTGATTTTCCTGTTTTGCCATCTGGAGCAGCATTGCCTGAAATACTCTTGGACATGCTTCCAGATTCATGTTTGCAAGAATTCCTCTGGGGGTATATCTATATATCCAGTTAACATTTGATTATATATATATTTAAAAAGTCAATGGTCTTCTGTTTACTTAGAAATTTACAAACCAAAAAACCTCAGTCACAGACAACAGTATGGTGGTTATAAGGGGGAGGGGGCTGGGGCCAGGGATGTAGTAAAGGGCATACATTTTTGGTTCATACTTATTTGTAAAATCAAAGCCTCTTCTGAAATCTGCTTATGGGGACCTTGGAAGGTCTAATAGTTGAAAGATTTTTTTTTCTTGTACATTAAAATGAACAAATAATTTACAGTTATGACCTTATGAAGAGAAGATAGATTTTGAAGGATAACAAGTTTCATGATAACTGAATTTCAGTGACAGGTTGAGAATTTTAGGCTAGTGCTGTAATTGCTTTCCTTGCTGATTCAGACATGACAAAAATAAATGCAGCCCATTAAAAAGGGCACTGATATGTTGAGTTGAAAGGTGCTATATGAGAAATTGTTATTTAGGGCAGACTATCTTCACCCTTGACATTTTTAATAATTTTCTGAGACCTGTCTGAATGGAGAAAATTTCTAACTCTTTCTTCCATCTACTATTATGCAACCATTTGTTGGTTCTAGGTATTTTTACTGTTCATATGATCTACCAGAGGTGACATTATTGATTTAGTCAATGATTGAAAGAGTCAATCAGTCACTCACTCAATTAAAATTATTTAATACCCCCCCATATTTGAGGCCTAATATTTAAAGTTGGATGTGTTATGGTGGACAAAACAAAAATGGGCTGACTCTCTCGGAACTTACAGTGTATAGTGTTTGAGACATGCATACGTAAGAAATTAGTGTGGCGTATAAGCGCTATTGATAGAGGTGAGATGGGTATCCTGGGAGTAAAAAAAAACAGGCATCCCTGATCTATTTTAAGAAAAGTTAGAGAGCTTTTACAGAAATACAGATTCTTATTTTTGAGCCCCAGAAATTTTGACTTTACAGGCCTAGAGCAAAGAAGCGTTTGTTTTTGTTGTTGCTCTTACTGTGATTGTGATTATTCGAACTCCCCAGAGGACCCAGACAGTCCGCCAAAGTGGGGAAAGACTTCAGGAGTGATTCCGACGGGCAGCAGTCATGACAGGGTCTCTGAATGAATCATCTAGAGTTGCAATAGAATCCTCTAGAGATGATTTCCAGATGCTTTTTACTCAGAGGCCATAGGTTCATCTTTATATTTGTCCCTATTCAATTGTAAATTCTTGTCCTCAGATGAGAGAAGATAACTATCCCAGTGGTGGAGGGGAAAGCCTGTCTTGTCAGTGGTACACGTGAAAAGATCCTGGAATTGTTGTTTAGCTATAGGAACCCAATGAACATCAGAGGCAGCCTTGACTGCCATGGGAGCCACTGGGATCTTAGTATGCACGACCGTAAACTTAGCCTCGAAAAGAAGAACGGAAAAGTCCCCTGTTCCTCTTGGTTGGGGCACATCTGAATTCCTGTGGATAGTTTCTGGGATCCCATTTAAGGTGAATTTTGACACGGGTATATGAAAAGATGGGGAGCTCCTTGGTAAATATCCCAGTGAGGAAGAACTGGAGAGAAATAGCCTTGTTTATCCCAGGAAAAAGGAGTATGTAGTCTGTCTAGTTATAGAAGAAAGAACTGGAACCAAAAAGGGAAAGTTGTTTGAGAAGCAAGTCTCACTCCTTCACTGACTGATTTATACATAGAACAGATATTTATCTGATATCAGTGTAAATAATTCTAGAAGATACCAAGGATATAATGGTAAACAAGGTGGATTCAGTTCCTGACTTAATGGAATTAATACCTTATTGGAAGATCTAGACAGTTAAGCAAGTAGGTATAAAAACTGTGCTAAGTTTTGTGATGGGAAACACAGGGTGCTATTTCACTTCCACATAAAACGCCTTTCTAATATCAGTACTGTCAGAAAGATGGTGAATGAGGAATACGCTGGCCCTGGAGGTAGGTATTCAAGAAGAGGCTGTTGGGAATATTGTAGAAGTTGTGCTAGCGATTACCATTAAAATCCTGTTTCACTTTTAACCTCAATGATCATCTGTGTCAGTGATTTTCAACATTTTTCATCTCAGGGCACATATAAACTAATTTCTAAAATTCTGTGGCACACCGGAATTCACCAAAAATATATTTTTTGCTGTTTTGACAAAAAAAAAAGATATAATTTTGATTCATTCCATCAGATGGCTGTTGTTGTGTTGGCTGTTGTCATTTTTTTATTTGACAATCTAAGGGATTGCCCCCTGACTAAATAGTAAGGTATGGCAAGTTTAAAAAATTTTTGTGATATACCAGTTGAAAATCGCTGGTATATGTCTTTATAACAGATTCACACTCCTTGCTTCCTTCTACCTTTCCCTTTCTTCCATTCTCAGTTTCAGTTCTTTAAGTTTGCATCACGAAATGATTGTCTTTGTGATTTTTACAGACATTTGGGTATAAGGAATAGGACAACTTCTGAGAACTGAGCTCATTCTTAATTATTATTTTTTTTATCTGAGCTACTAGGTAATTGAAGGCCGGTCTAAATGTTCAACAGATGCTCTGCGATCTGATTTATAGCTTTGGTTTTCCCAGTCCCCCAATGGCTAGATCATGCAGGCGGGGACTCTGGGGGGACATCCTAATGGGAGCCCTTAGTTCTGTGGGAATGGGTAGGCACCAAGACTGCGTAGAATGTCATTGCCACTTTTTCTATAATTTTAATATGCTCTAAAGGGTAATACTATGTTTTCTTTATTATGTTTTGAATTCTTAATGTGTCTTAACTAATTAGAAAAGCAGAGCTTTCCCTCACAGCATTTTTTAAAAAATTAAATAGTATGTTATGACAATCTCAGGGCTCCGAGCCTTTTGGCATTCAATGTTACAGACTGAAGTTGGATATTGTAGAGGTTTGGGTTTGCTTTCTCTTGACCCAATGTGACTTCCTGTTTCTAAGAAAACAGTTTTAAAAACTCTTAAAAGGAATTTCTTGCATGCTTGGCAGCTCTTGTAAAACCACATTTTGGTAAACCAGTGTGAATGAAGTATATTAAAAAAAGAATCCAAGAAAGAACCATATTGTTTAATTAGCATTTTGTTTTGTGGAAATTGGACCTCATAGATAAATCTGGTGATTTAGGAAGTGTCTGCTTCTGGTAACCAGATAAACCAGGAACCAAAATTTCTCATTTCGGATAATCACCCTAGCTCAAGGGGACATTTGATCACAAACTAGGTTTTACTCAGTGTTGGAGGTGATACATACTAGTGAGTCTGGTTAATGTGTTTTGTTTTTTTTTTTTGAAAAAAGAAAGTTGCAACTTGGTCATCTTCCTTTAAATGAATTCACAAACTTTGAACGAATTCACATGCATTCTTACAATATCCCGGGGAAACAACCCAGTTGTTCCCATCACTCACTTAGTGGAAAAAATGAATGTTAGTAAGTCCTTGGTAGTTAGATATTCCTCTTTGGATAGAAGAGTCATGTTTCTTGGTTCTCAGAGCAGAAATTCAGCTACTCTCTTGGAATTGTCCTAGAAATTGGCTTTCTATAACTATTTTAATAGGGATGAAATATGTTTATTGTAACTACCAAGGCAATATGTTCATTTGATTAATATTTATTTATTATTTTAAAAAAGATTTTATTTTTTCTTATTTTGTAGAGAGAGGGGAAGGGAGGGAGAGAGAGAAACAGATGTGCGAGAGAAACATTGATCGATTGCCTCTCATGTGCCCCTAACCAGGAACCTGGTCCACAACCCAGGCATGTGCCCTCACTGGGAATCGAATCAGAGACCCTTTAGTTTGCAGGCCAGCACCCAGACCTGTAAGCCACACCAGCCAAAGCTGATTATTATTTATTGAGTACCTATTATGTGTCTGGTGCTCTTCTAGAAGCAGACAGTATGGTGAGGAATAAGGCAGACAATATCCTTGATTTTATTTATCTGTTAAACACTTATTTAAGGGCTTACTGTATGCCAGAAATTGTACTTGGTGCTTTGTGAATAGTAAGTAATTTAATCCTCCTGACAGTGCTGTGAGGTGTAGGGACTCTATCCTCACTTTACAGGTGTAAAGAGGGAGGACCTGAGTCACCCAGATAGGATGTGGCTGAGCTAGGGTGTGAACGTGGGGTGTGTGCTTATGACACCCTGCTCACTCTGTGGTCGCTCTGTAAGCCTGACCTCATAAGCATATACATTCCTTATGAGGTAAAACAAAACACACACTCAGAAAAAAAGGGAAAATAAAAACCACAGGTAATCTGACCAAGGTTAACGTGCTGGTGTCTGTGTTCCATTCTTCTCGTATGAAATGTAAGAAGTGTGTGGGTTTGTGTATGTATGTAAGTAAACATATATGACATCTTACTGATTTATTACCGCTTATTTTCACAACATATTTTAAATGTTCGACAGGCTAGTACATTTTCTAAAAAGAATTTTACACAACTCTGCCGTGTTCCATGGTTTGTCTGCCATGATTTATCTAACCAGTTTCCTACCACTTAATAATGTTTCTTAATTTTGAATTTCATAAATGTTGCTTCAGTTAATCCCTTTATAACTAAATCTTTTGTAAATCCATGGTTATTATGCAGTTTTTTAGTGAAGAATAGTAAATATACAGTGTCCACATGCTCCCTGTGCTGTTAGACTCTGACAGTGTAAACAATGCAATCATGCTTCCCTCCTAGGTTAGTGGATGACAGGTGCGTGGTGCACCCGGAGGCCGGGGACCTCGCCAACCCTCCCAAGAAGTTCAGAGGTAAGACACAAACATATATTTATTATGTGACCTAAGGGGACAGAGGTTATTCTTATGTCTTAAAATAAGTAATGTTTATTTAACGTGAAATTTTCAAATATAAATGTCCACTTAAAAAGTTTTTCAAAAATTTCTCCATTGTTCTTCTTCTTTTATACATTGAAGGATTTATAATGAAAGAATAATTTCCATATTTTTTTTTGCTAGACAATAGCCTACCCGTTCAAAGGAAATCTTAGAAATTAACTGTGAGAGGCCACATTTCAAGCCAATGAATAAGCTAAATAACATGTTTGTATTTCTGTGACTATAAATGTTAGTGTGCCATTAGCAGCTCTTAATTTATCTTTGTAAAATCCTCAGGAATGTGACAGTGATGTGTTTGTTTACCTTTTAAAATGTCACTTTGGATGGTGTATAATAAGTAACAATTGCCTTAGAGCTTGTTTCTAAGTATAATTTTAGAAATAGTTTGATAATATCATTGAGAAATTGGTCATAGTAGGAGACTGAGTTTTATTTGATGCTTATGAAAAAAAGATTAGTAGAATCTGTCAAGAATCATACACAACTAAAACCAATAATTAAAAGCTTGCTCAAATCAATTTCCAAATTTGTGAGTACTTATAAGAATAAAAATAATTTTAAAACAGTATTAATTTTGAATACACTGTTTAAGCATCCTTCTTGCATGGTGAAAAGTGGCTTTAATAAGTGGTAACTCTCTGGAGAGAGAGTCCAAGGGAGTCCCCAGAGCCCCAGAGCCAAGTCAGGATTTATTTGCTACTTCCTACCCTGGGGAAGGAAGATGTTTAACATTGGAAAATATTTCCCACGTTTCATTCTGTGACAGACACTTACCACACAATTCTCATGGTAGGAATATCATAGTTCATTTTCCCTACACTCAGAACCTTGAGGAGAGAGTGACAAGCACAGTAAATATACTTTGAATTACATTGGTTGCTTTGAATAAGAGATCCAAATTTCCCCTCAGGTGGAAAAATTAACATAAGACTGGCTGCAGGAGCTACACTGCCCACCAGAAGCACCCATAAATGCTCATTTGGGATACTCCTCTACCCTGGGCGAATGCGGTCTTCTCGCCATAAAGAGTGCCCCCAGAGATTGTTATCAAAACCCACATTTGTGTGCCTGACACTTAGAAAGGACAAAACTCACACTGTCAGAGTTTGGAGCAAGAGAAGGTTTATGGATCAAGAAGGTGCTCACTGAGAAGATAGGAGACCTAGTCATACCTCAAATCCATCTTGATAGACTAGGTAATAGTTTTTAAGGGGTTAGCGGAACAGGCATGCAAAGTGCTGGTGGGTCATATTTTAATTGGAGGAACTTGGGACGTGGTCATTTATGGTAAAGGGGCATTGACATTGAATCTTCCTGGAAAACGGACACTAGGCTTTTGAAAGAGGTCTTGTGTTCAAGTTCCAGTTATGTCCTGGTTCTTTGGTTCGGTGGGATGGTGGTGATATTGGTGAGACCTTGGTTTCTGGTGCAGGTGGAGGTCAAAGTTCTCTCTTCTGCACATGCTTTGGGTGCGTGACATGTGGTTTTGGTCTGTTGTCTCTGAAAGGAAGCTTGGTATCTAATTAAACAGGACAGGGCCATTTTGAGCTGGTTCTGTGATTACAAGGATGAATTTACAATAAAACTAGCATGAGGGAGAATCAGCAGCTGTGACAAAATGTAGTATTTCAGAACCTGCCAGAGACTATGCAATAAGTGTGTGAAGTGATTTCAGAGATAGAAGAGGGTAGAGAAGCCCCAATGAAAGAACAGAGAATATGAAAAAGAACAGATAGGTTCTAAAAAGTTTGAGCTAGTATATTTATAAAGATGAGAAGAGAGTTAGTGCTTTGGCAAAAGGATCTGAGGAACTCACTCAGATACAGTAAAGAGAGATACAAAAAAGAAAAATATCAGTGAATTAACTCAGATAAGACTTATGGTCAAGATGGAGGCATTGTAAAAACAGCTCACTTCCTCTCACAGCCCTATCAAAATTACAACTAAACTAAAGAATAACCATCACTCAGAACTATCAGAAATTGAGCTGAATAAAAGTCCGTCAACTACGGAATTAGAGAAACGACATCCATCTGGACTGGGAGGAGGGGCGGAAATGCAGAATAGGCTGGTCCCATACCCACATGTGGTGGATAAAAATTTGGGAGGGATGTCTTGGGAGCAAGGAGTCCCAGTTCCAAACCAGGTCCCATAGTCCATGATTCCTGTGCCAGGAAGATAAGTCCCCATAACATCTGGCTGCAAAGACTAGCGGGGATGGAGTCAGTGGAAGAAACTTCTAGAGTCCCAAGCAGTTTTCCTCAAAGAACCCACACATGGATTCACCTACTCAGACACACTCCCTCTGAGCTTGAGCACCAGGGTAGCAGCATGGAAGGCACCAGTGACATACAGGGGGAAACTGAGGTGCCTCCCTGGAAAGAAGGAAAGAAGTGGGGGACAGCTCTCTCCCAGACAGAAAGGTGGGCAAAGACCATTGTCCCTTTTCTGAACCCTACCCAACAGAGCCACAGAACTGGCAGGTGGGTGCTGTATCTGAGACTCCATCAACCTGGCTAACACTGTTTGCCCCACCCTGGAGATAAGGCTCTATCCCACCCAATTTAAGGGCTCACCCAAGCTGTTAACAGTGGTTTTTCTATATGAATGGCTGGTCTTGACTCATGCTTTGCAACTTCCTAAATCCTCTCAAACAGGCAACAGCTGGCCTCAGTGAGCCCTCAGCCCCCAGCCCCTGAACCTCTTGCTAAGTGGCCCCCACACTAGGAGCAGCCAGCCTAGGTTAACAGCTTGGCTCTGCCTAGGAACCTGCAAGCCCAGCACATGTATCAGCCATATGCAGATTGCTCTATAGCTCATGCAAGGTGGCCCCGGGCAGAACACAGTGGGGAGCACTGACTTTGGCCTGCACCACCCAGGAAACCCCACAGCCTGTGTACCCAGCAGACAGCTATAGACAATGTTGGAGCACCACCACCCTGCCCCTGCACAGCTGGTCCTCCATGGAGGGCAGAGGTTGGTGATAGTGGTCACAGCCATTCTTTGCAGTTGAGTGGCCTAGGTAACTCCTTCCCATTGACCTCCCAACAGCAACCTAAGCTCAATTACAAGAGGAGGGTATGCTCAGCTCACACTAAGGGCACACCCCAAGTACCCAGCTAGGGCGATAGGGGAGGCTGTGCCACTGGACCCTATAGGACATCTACTGCATTAGGCCACACTACTAAGATAGGGAGTCATAGCAGCTCTACCTAATACACTGAAACAAACACAGGGAGGCTGCCAAAATGAGGAGACAAAGAAACAAGGCCCAAATGAAAGGACAGATCAAAACTCCAGAAAAAGAGCTACATGGAATGGAAATAAGCAATCCAGATGCAGAGTTCAAAACACTGGTTATAAGGATGCTCAGAAACTTAGTGAGGACCCTAACAGCATAAAAATGATCCAATCAGAAACAAAGTATTCACTAATTAAAATGAACAATTTACAGAGAGACAGCAGTAGAGTGGATGAAGCCGAGAATCAAATCAATGATTTGGAATGTAAGGAAGCAAAAAACCACCATTCAGAGCAACAGAAAGAAAACAGAGTCCAAAAAAACCAAGGATAGTGTAAGGAGCTTCTGGGGCAGCTTCAGGTGTTCCAACATTCACATCATAGGGGTGCCAGAAGGAGGAGAGAAAGAATAAGAAATTGGAAATCTATTTGAAAAAATAATGAAAGAAAACTTCCCAAATTTGCTGAAGGAAATAGACATGGATGTCCAGGAAGCATTAAGTCCCAAATAAGTTGGATGCAAAGAGGCCCAAGGCACATCATAATTAAAATGCCCATGGTTAAAGATAAAGAGAGAATCATAAAGCAGAAAGAGAAAACAAGTTAGTTACCTACAGGGGAGTTCTCGTAAATCTGTCAGCTGATTTGTCTAAAGAAACCTTGTAGGCTAGAAGGGATTGGTAAGAAATATTCAAAGTCATGAGAAGAAGGGACCTACAGCCAAGATTGCTGTACCCAGTGAAGCTATCATTTAGAATCAAAGGGCAGATAAAGAGCTTCCCAGAGAAGAAAAAACTAAAGGAGTTCATCATCATCAGACCATTATTATATGAAATGTTAAAGGTGCATATTTATTTAAGAAAAAAGATCAAAACTATGAACAATAAAATGGAAATAAATACATATCTAGCAATAATTGAATCTAAAAAACAAACTAAGCAAACCTGAACAGAGACAGAATCATGGACATGGAGAGCATTTTGATGGTTGCGAGAGGGGAGGGGATGCGTGGGAATGGGTGAAAGGTGAGGCGAGGGACAGTGGTGGGGGGTAGGCAGAGACAAATGTATTTGAAAAAATAAATTAAAATAAAATTTTAAAAAATGAACACTAAAAACAAACAAACAAACAAACAAACAAAAAAGAAGTACAAATAGATAGTTACAGAATAGCCATGGGGATATAAAGCATGGCATAGGGAATGGGGTAGCCAAAGAACTTATATGCATGACCATGGACATGAAAAATGGTTTTGGGGATTGCCTGAGGAATTTGGGGGGTGCTTGGTGAAGGGGGACAAGAGGGAAAAATAGGGATACTGTAATAACATAATCAATAAAATATAATTAAGTAAAAGAAGTAAAAATAATTTGAATGAGTTTGGAGAATAGACTAAGAAGGTTGGCAGTATCTAATCAAGTTCTAGAAGGAGAAGCTAGAACAAATGGGATGAAGCGGTATGTGAAGGCATACGGGTGAAAACTTTTCTCAACGGAAGGGAAACACTATGCCTCAGGTGGAAGAGGCATGTTGAGTTCAGAGTGGGAACAGGTACACAAAACCAAATCCACAGAGACGCCTTTGTGCACTATAGCTGCTTGAAGAGAAGAAGTTTTAAAAGCAAACTAGGGCAACAAATCTGTATTTGTAAAAGAAAAAAAGCATGGGTTCAG